CAACAGTCTTACCTAAAAAAAACGCTACTGGTTCATAAAAACAAGGTAAAAGATAAAGAGGTTTGGAGTAATTTAGGAAATGTCCAAAAGGAAACATTCAATTTGTCATTTTTAGAACTTAGTTAAATATTAATTTAATTCAGTACCAAAAGTTAGAGTTGGGGTACTCGAACTTGGACTCGGACTCGAGTCCGGACTCGAGTCCAATTTTGAATGAACTCGGACTTGTCACGCACTCGGGTGAATTTGTACTCGGACTTGACACGGACTTGAACATTTTGGACTCGGAAAATATTCCGAGTACAGTCGAGTCCGCGTCATGTGTAACAATAAAACCAGCATAAAATTGAGATGAGAAATTAATTAATGTCTCCCCGTCTGTCATTTTACTGCACCACACCGGCAGGCAGCAGTAGCATATCATCTTATGCTTGCAGACGAAACACACACATCACTCACTGGATATCAATGTGTGGCTAGGACGATGTCTTCAAAGTCAGCAATAATTTGTTTTGCTTACGAAAATCATAAAGAATTTATTTGCAAGACATCCGGTAAAAAGAAGCACTCTGCGGATTGCAAATTTTGCAAAACAACTCTTACTGATGTTTCTGGCACGACTTCAAATTTCTACCGACATGTTCAGAGAAAACATAAAGAAAGGTAAGTTGCTTATTATAACTTTTATACCAATTTAAATCCAAATAACATTGTTAGGGCTGGGCGATATGACGCTAAATATATATTGGGTCTGTGTGTGCGCGCGGGCGCGCACAAACTTAAATCATGCAGACAGAAATGAGGCCGCCTCAATGTGCATCATCAGTGATGAATTATCTAATGGTTTTACACTTGCACGGTCAAATAAATTCACACACATCATGTCAAAATGTAAGTTTGGCCGAGTATTCATGTAAACAGTCGGTTATGTACATTGGTAAGATGTCTTAAGTGAATGTAAACAAACAGTTGGGAAAAATCGTCAATATCAGTCAAATAAATCTGTTGCCGTAATGTTAACAAAATCACTCACTCACTCTACTGATAACTAACTTTATTAAATGTAATGAGAATCAATGTGCATGTCATACAGTGAAGTCTGTTTTATTTTACATTTAATTGCTTTATTTAATTTCAGTAGTATTTATTCTTACTTGAATACTATTTGGACCTACTTGAGAAAACAATTATCGTGAAATAAGATTTTAGTATCGCCCACCCCTAAACATTTGCATTTGGTGATTCCAGTCTTTAATTTTACAAAATGTTAAATGTAATTCTTAATGTGGGAAATAATATAAACCCTGCTGATTGAGATTTGTTTTTTACATTTTAGTAAGGAAATTAACATATCACCACAGAAATGCAGGGACTGTAAATATAGTCCTTTTAAATTTAAAATGATTTGCTCTTAATGTAATGTAATTATTTTCTATCAATTACTTAATGTGATCTGAATTGCAATAACTAGTAAAATAGCTTAAACAAAACTTTGCAAAAAAATGTTTTAGGCACATTAGACAAATACCTTTGTTTTGCATGTACCTTCTGTTTTTGAATTAGCAAGTATTGTTAAAATTTTCTCTTTTTTTGTCCCAGAATAAGAGAGTACCAAAGACAGCAGCAGCAACCAACAGATGCTGCACAGCCCAGCATTGCAGGATTTGCAAGACCAGAATTGACCAAACAAGCAGTGCAACTTTATGATGCAAGTTCTCCAAGACAACAAGAAATTCATAATGCCATCATTAAGGATCTCCTCATTGGCTGCACTTTACCTCTGTCAATTGTTGAAAATCAGCATTTCAGGCATTTCTTGAAAGTAATGGACAACAAATACACTCCCATTGCAAGAAAAACAATCACTGAAAAACACATTCCTTTGTTGGTTGATCAGGTGAAAGATTCAATTAAAAGGAAGCTCCAGACCCAATCATCTGTGTCCATAACTGCTGACATATGGTCTGATCGAACCATGCGGTCCTTCTTCGGTGTTACAGCCCATGGATTACACCAAGATGGAAATCAGCTGGAGTCCTTTCTTTTAGACTGTAGGAGGTTTTGTGGCAGACACAGTGGAGACAACATAGCCATGGCATTTGACGAGATCATTGATGAATATAACATAGCAAGTAAAGTCAGGTACATTATTACTGATAATGCAGCCAATATGAAGTGTGCATTCAAAGTCAAGCTACCACAGGAAGAGCAGCACAGTGATGGCAGTGATGCAGAAGAGGAAAACTTAGATGATGAGAGTCTTTGGGAGGATGTGACCTGGGAAGACGAGACTATCATGGTGAGAACAAGACAAAGGCTGTCATGTTTTGCACATTCTCTGCAATTAGTTGTACATGATGGAATGAAAGAAGCCAAGGCCTTTTCTTCAGCACTTGCCAAAATGTCAAAATTAACCTCATTACTTCACACAAGTACTACATTTAAAGAACGATTTGAGGCTACATTTGGGACAGATAGATCAATTCCTGCAGCTACATCCACACGCTGGAACAGTACATTCAAGCAGCTACAGGCCCTTACAGCACTTGACCATAGGGATCTCACACAAATTTGCAGTTCAGACTTTCAACATGTTCTTTTTTCAGTTCGTGAATGGAATCAACTGAAGGATTTAGGTTCTGTTCTCTTTCCTTTTGCGGAAGCAACAGACCTTACAGAGGGTGAGAAAATGGTCACTATTAGTATGGTGGTCCCCACTGTACTTGATTTAAACACTCATCTGCTCCAAATATCAGAGTCACGAAGTCATTGCCGGCCACTGGTCTTGACTCGTACTCGACAAAGGTGGACTCGGACCCAACTCTACCAAAAGTAACAGTAAAAATAGTTTAATCTAATTCAAATTGTTATCATTAGCAACATGCTAATGAAATCTGTTATACAATTATACAGAATGCGAAACACAGGGCCGTGAAATAAAAATGTCTAGAGGCGTGTTTTTTTTTTAAATGAACTTCTAACTTGAGACTTAGAATGCCGCCTCATGCGCAAAACTCGCGACACATCCGTGTATCGCACGTTTACTGTACATAGAGAACGATGGAAAAGCAGTGTAGTGGAATGCCAAAACATGTTCTTCAGGGGTGGCGAACGTCGGTCCTGGAGAGCCGCAGCCCTGCAGAGTTTTGCTTCAACCCTAATCAAACCCACCTGAACAAGCTAATCAATGTCTGAAGGGTTACTAGGAAGCTACAAGCAGGTGAGATTTTATTAGGGTTGGAGCTGAACTCTGCAGGGCTGCGGCTCTCCAGGACTGGAGTTCGCCACCCCTGTTCTATGTGAACTACCCTCTTTTTCCCAGCAACGTATCATTTGTCTTGTCTTAGCTTTTTTTTGTTGCCTACTGAAGTCTTATTCCTCAACCAGAACATGATCTGAGTTTCCGTGACTAGCTCAGTCTGTTTCCTAACCTTCCTGCGGGCTGGATCCTCCCGTCAGCATTAAGCTTTTCCAAACTGTCACATCACAATGATAGATTCTCAACATTATAACAGCGCGCAGCTGCCGCTCGGCCCCGCACGTGTGGTCGGTTCGGCTGAGGCTGCCTGTCGGACATCCCCGAATGCGCCCGGTCTCCTGGGCTCTGGGAAGAATGGGGCAGAGGCGTCAACTAATTCATCAATGTGCCGTGTGGGAAGCAAACAATCGCGAAAAAGCTTAGGAACAGGAAATAGCACAAACGAGAGTAAAGAGCTCTCCTCGGCCCACTGGAATTCCCCCAGGTTACAGCAGTGGGAGGCTTGAGTACAGTTTTGGGAACCTTTACGTTCGTGTCGAGCCTGGTTCACATTCTGTCATGCTGTAAATGAAGCTGGTTGGGTGGACGATACCGCAGACTGTTTGAATCCATCGGCTCGGTCATATTTCTATAGACTTTTCTATAGGGCCTTTTGCCACATTGTAATTGAGGCATGCTGGAGGTTTCCATGACGACCGTCCTCTATGTCCAGCATTGTTCGCGGGTACAGATTGAAATGGTATCCTATGGGAACTGTTTTCTAGTTTGTACCGATGCACAGCCACAGCTCTGAAAACGCTCGAGGCTTGGGATCAAACACCGACTTATTCTAGCAAGGGCCTATTAAACCATTCATTTGCAGATGGTCGCAAAATAAGTTTTTTTTAGTGTGTTTTGTTGTAACCACTTTTGTCATATTGACGATATAGAATGACTGACTGATCAGCAGTTCATCTACATTTATCTCTATGCCATGCCATTTCTAATAGGTTAAAACAGCATTATATAATATAATGATTGTTAATTACTTTTTAAAGAGTTATTATATTAATAATAAAACTTTATAAATATTATATAAATAGTGCAGTATCTTAACCATAATATATAAATAATTAAAATATATGAATGAATGTATTGTAATGTATTAATAAATAATGAAACTAAACTTAATGAAAAAATAATAAAATATAGTACATCAATTATATTAACAATAATAGTAAGGTTAATTGAAAATGAAACTTAAAGATTAATAAGGTATAAGTAAATAATAATGATGAAATAATAAAGGGTTTATATATATATATATATATATATATATTATGTGTGTGTGTGTGTGTGTGTGTGTGTGTGTTTGTGTATTTCTAATACTATTGTGTAATTTGGTGTAATTTTATAAAGTGTGTGTGTGTGTGTGTGTATGTTAAAAGTACATTTTGTCAGCATGTAGTGGTATAATAGCATTAGCCTCAAAGCTAACAAGCTGATAGATAGATAGATAGATAGATATATGTTTGTATGTATTATTTTTTTTTAATTTTATTAATGTGGGATGAGTTTTTGACAATTTTCTGTGGTAATCGACATCATTCTCTTTTAGCTAGTTATCAACAGCATTCTCTTTATATGTATACATATACATTTTCTATGCTTTAATATGAAACTGCAGACTTTTTGCACACTTTGTTTGGAAACTGTACCAACGTACAATGTGCTGTCTGTGTTTTTTTTTTTCCTGGCTCAGCAGGCCTCAGCTCACCACCTGCTAACATCACCACATCAGCCGTCCCCAGCATTGTCACTCCTATCGTCAACGGCTTTACCAGCATCCCTCACCAACCCAACGGACACCCTGTGGTTGAGGCCATGTACACCAACGGACTGCCCCCTTACTCCACCCAAAGCCCCACAGCTGCGGACACCCTACAACAGGCCTTCACCGGGGTGCAGCAATATACAGGTTCACTACCTCAATGAGCCTTCTCTCTCTCTCTCTCTCTTTCTCTCTCTCTCTCTCTCTCTCTCTCTCTCTCTCTCTATATATATATATATATATATATAAAACCACATGAAACTATTTTATTTTTGTGCTGCTTACTTAAAATGGATGGTCGTTTTTGACCAACCATGCGTCAGTTTGTCTTTTTTTTTTTTCTTTTCGTTCTTTCGAGTAGCCTTGTTCAATGCTGTGTCGCATAAATCCAGGCTGTGCTCTCACACAAATTTCTCTTTGCACGTACAGCCATCTACCCAGCGGCCACACTGACCCCTATTGGCCAAAGCTTGCCACAGCCACCGCAAGTCATTCAACAGCAGCAGCAGAGAGAAGGAGAGGGTGAGAGATTTTTCCTTTGTTTTGGCATAAGGATCAATACTACATGCATGATGATGAGTGAATAGTTTATTATACTGAAATAACTGCAAATCGCATCTTCCATTAAAGTAATAGTTCACGCAAAAAATGAAAAGAGAGAAGGTGAGGGTGAGAGATTTTTCCTTTGTTTTGGCATAAGGATCAATACTACATGCATGATGATGAGTGAATAGTTTATTATACTGAAATAACTGCAAATCGCATCTTCCATTAAAGTAATAGTTCACGCAAAAAATGAAAATTTGCTGAAATTTACTCGCTCTCAGGTCATCCCAAGATGTAGATGAGTTTGTTTCTTAATCGGAACAGATTTGGAGAAATTCAGCATTCCATCACTTTCTCACCAGTGGATCCTCTGCAGTGAATGGGTGCCGTCAGAATGAGAATCCAAACAGCTGTAATGCATAATCCACAAGTAATCCACACAACTCCAGATGTTAATTGATGGACTTGTGTGGATTACTTGTGGATTATTGTGATGTTTTTATCAGCTGACGGTATTCTAATGGCACCCATTCACTGCAGAGAATCCGTAATCAATTTTTTGGCCTGTTTTAGCATAATGATAAAAACATAAAAATGTAACAAAATTGCTTGCATGGTATTCTGAAACAAAAGGGCACAAAGGCCTGAAATTAACAATGTAATCTAAATACAAGTTCTTATATTAAAACATTTCTGTTGTCTCATGTGACTTATTTTGAATGGAGACTCCACAGTGAGTAACATCTTTGTGTTGCAGGACCAGAGGGCTGCAACCTCTTTATCTACCATCTACCGCAGGAATTTGGCGACAACGAACTCATGCAGATGTTCCTCCCATTTGGTACAGTCATCTCCTCCAAGGTCTTCATGGACAGAGCCACCAACCAGAGCAAATGTTTTGGTGAGACAAATCAACACGTTTCAGTAATAGATGCCAATGATCTCAAAACGGCTAAATATCAGCTGATTAATCTGCCTAGCCTGATTCCAGCATCAATGTTAACTTAAAATATCAGTAAAAAGTTACAATATATTTTTATACAATATTTGATTACAGCATGCTGAATGTGAATAACTGCAGAACAAGTATTGCGCAAGCAATGTTTCCGCATACAGCCCGTCCCAAAACAACCAATAATCGGTCTCTGTCCGTTTCACAGTGTAAACTCCATTCTGTATTCTGTGTCAAGCCACAAACCGGAGAGCTGCCTTTTAAAAACCCCTGAGCCAGAAAAAAAGTCCTAAGTGAAGCAAAAAGGCCCATTATGGATCAACATCTGTTCCCGCTCCAGGGGGAGACATTTCCCAAGCCACAATTAATAGCAGCTCCCGTCTCCTGGGGGAGGTTAATAAGATATAAATTTGTGAAGTAGGACCTATTTGCGGTATTGACTTATACACTATGCATTTACTGCGTAATGTCAGGTCTGGGTAACAGGCGCTCGGTAGAGTAATTAATCTGCGGTGGGGGCCGAGGCCCGAGATGGACCGATGGGACTTGGCTGAGAGCACTGACATACATAGATTCCCTATTAATTCAGCCTTGTGGCTTTATCCCCCACATCACCTCCATGTGGACCTTCTCGTCTTGTAGATACAAGCCTCGAAATGGGGGCAGTTCCAGCGGTTAGGCGCATAGGCCACTCTGCTCCCAGGTGGCTGATGGCCGACGAAAACGCCCGCTGTTTTTCACGGTTCACTGCCGGTTCCTGATGATGCTCGTAATGCCAGGGAAAGTGCATCCTCACTTCATTTTGGCTTTTTGGTCACTGGCTTGTAAAAGCCTATGGGTTTGAACGGGAAGCTGGGGATGTCACGGACGAATGTGGTTTGCATGCTGTGGGTGGCCCCGTTTCGGAGTCCTGTGGGGCGATTTGTCCCTGCTCTATACCACCAGTGGCTTATATATGCTCAAAAGTAGCCCACACAGATGCATATATGGTGATTTTTCAGAGTTCGAAGTGGAAATAAGTTCATAAAAGAGCCATTTTTGACTTGTTGGAAACTTCACTGCTTTAATATGATGCCGTGTAATCAATTTGAGCAGCCGAGCGACTTGGTTCACATCTGTTCTCGTGATCTCTTGCAGGCTTCGTTAGCTTCGACAACCCAGCAAGTGCACAGGCTGCTATCCAGGCCATGAACGGCTTTCAGATCGGCATGAAGAGGTTGAAAGTGCAGTTAAAACGGCCGAAGGATGCGAGCCGTCCGTACTGACAGGGCCCAACCCACACAGAAGTCTCAGCAACAGCACAGGTAGCACCTTTGGACACCAGACACGATTTTTTAACAGGAATACATTCTTGATAATATTTAGAATTTAATTTTCTTTACAGGATTTGAAGAGTGAAATCTCAAAAGGAATTTAACTTTTTCTTTCAAAACAAACAAGAACAACATGAATGGATTTTTTTGAAGACATATCAGCATTTATTTTACAAAGATGTTCGGTATAGAGGAGGCGGTATTGCAGGTGAACCGGCACCCGTGGACAAACCACACTCAGCACAGCGCACGAAAGACAAGTGGAAGATCTCTCTAAAGACAGAGAACTCAACATGTCCTGTCTCTCGCTGAGCTTCGCACCGTCAGTCAAGCAACAAACAAACAGAAAAAAACTAGCAAGAACAACTTCGATTTCTATATACATATTATACACACATATGCTATTTAAAGGAAGAGGCGCTTATGGCTTTTACTACACTGGACAAATGAGGGTTAAACTTGAAAACCAAGGAAAAATGCAGTGGAAAAAAAAAGAAGCTCTTCTTGTCTCGCTAGTGGACTTTCTTTCTCTTTTCCTCTTACCTTTTCTTCTGTCACTGTCTTTCAGCAAATGCAGGACATTCTGTGGTCACAAGAGGTTTCCATGCCCTCAGTGAAACTGATAAATCTTTCACCCCAAAGGGACCAAAGGACCAAACATTTTTATTCCTCAACAGAAATATATGGTATTAATAACAATACTAATACTACAAACTACTACTAATGACATAAGTTTAAAGAAAAAATAATAAAAAAGCATAAATATTCACTTCAGGTCGGAAGAGGAAAGGGATTTTGATTTCTTTTCCTTTTACATTTGTAGCTACTGGGTTTCAGAATATTTAAACAAAATAGAAAAACGAAGAAAAAAAAAAGTATTTTAAAAGCTATACTATTTTAGTGGAGTAGAATATGTGGATTGGAGATTGTTAGGAGCATGTTCAGCCATTTTCATCCATGAAGAAAAAAAAAACAAAGGGGGAAACTGTCCATCATCCATCCATGTCAGAAATAGGCCCATATTCCAGAGAACAAATGCTGAGTATTATTATATATGCATGTGCGAAGTGTTGCTGGTTTAGCAAAACCTTGGGTAGATATTCACAAACAAACATATTTATCCGATGAAAGCTTTACTTATTGAGCAGAATAAGTAACTGTGGCTTCAACGCATACTATCTGCAATATAAACAGCTGTACCATTGCACAGGTAAATAATACAAAAATACAGTTAATGCTTGACAGAGATGGGAAATCTTTGTTTATTTATTTATTTTTCACCACTTCAGTGATTTTTCAACTGAAGTGGTTCTAGTTTGATTTCATCAGGTCTACAACTGTGCTTCATGAAGTAACGCGCAACTTTACTATTACAAGGGACCTGTAGACCTTTCATATCATCCATTTTGTGCATACTCATCAAACAGTTGGTGCCAAATGCTGAATATCAACTGATAAAGCACATTAATAAGAAAACCAAGCAGTTACAAAGATACCAAGCCTTAAACCCTTACACAGCCCACAAAATGAGGTTCGTAACGGACCTACTGAATGGACAAACTTGTTATTGCTTACAACTTCTGAAGCACATCAGAATTTTACAGGAACCATCTTGCGGCATCAAAATAATAGTCAAATTCAGCCTCGGAAACCTGCACAATCAATTCCACATTGAAGTTTGCAAAGTTCATTTCGCTAATAAATGAGTTTAAGATATAGAGAATGCCGCGGGACGACTCGTTGGATCCACGAATAACCCATATTTCTAAGAATACGCTTCTCAGGCTGGTATGGATTAGCTTGACGCTAACTGTCTGCAAAGGTCTAATGAGCAGCCTGTAAAGAGCTCACGAACAGCTTGCAAATAGCAGCCATGGGGGGTTACAGTTAGAGCAAACTGATCCATCAATAAAAAAGCCACCGAGTATGACGTTATGGTGTACTTAACCGCAGCTGTTGCTTTGCTCTCAGACAAGTCACACATATACACAACTCTAAAGCACTTGACAAGAATCTTAAAGACCTTATGAAATCAAAATCGCTTAGTTTGTGTGTTAGCTCTGTGGCTAATGCTAGCTGACAAAACTAACACACAAAATGTTCAATTTACAGTCTTCAGGTAAATCGGACCTCAAAATTAAATGACACATTTTTGTCCAATCAAAAGCTCTAGAATGAAGTCTGAATTGGTGGATATTTGTTAGCTTTGATGCCAATTCTAGCGTACTAAGTTGACAATATTGCGTTTTACCAGCAATATGCATTTAAATTTACGTCTCTCATTTTTTCACTTGGAAAATGGACCAGAAATACTGATTTATCATGCACTACAAATTTTTGTCCAATCAGATGCTACACTAATACTACTGTACCTGCAAGTAACGACACAGCATGATGTTAATTAGTCCTTTTTTACTTGTTTTCCAGTAAAAAATATTATAAATATCTAAAAAAATATATAGATTAAGACCTGTTTTCATAAAAATGTATCTTCAATGTGTATTTTGTCTCATCAAAGATTTATTTTTAGATATTTCAAATGGAAATGTAGATGCAGTACTTTCTAAGAGTAGAGTTTTTGCAGTGTAATAAGTAGCACATTATGGCTGTAATGTAACCTAAAGGCTATTGGCTATTTAAAATAAGTTGACACGCCCCGACTTCCTGTTTTAAAGGGAAATGCATCAACGCTATACACATCAAATGATTTCACAGGGTCTTTAAATATTAAATGGACAATATTCTTGAAACGAGTTGTTTTCCTATGCATTTAACGTTCTTGTTTGCGTTTTTCGTATATTTTTACGTTCTATCCTACGCTACTCTCACCGTTTGCCAACTCGCCAATTCCACACTGCCTTCATAGATATGCCAAAACTACAGATAAATACAGTGACACAGAAGTACAGGAAGTTCAGGTCCTCCCAGAATTCACAAATAAACAGAAATAGATGCAAAAACAGAGCTCTAGAATCTAGGTAGGACAGAAAAGCACATGCTTTGACCTCATTTGATTTCCACTGTGGATATTTGACCTGTTTGTCTTCCCTAAAAATATATCTGTATGTTAAATGTTTAATCTCGCAGACGTCAGAAATAAGTTTTGCCGGAAAACATTAACGTCGCCCATATATCACAGCCGTTTTTTTAGCCTCAGGTCGCGCCGAAATGGATCGCATTCGATTCACAGGTTATAATGGCCTTTTTTTTGCTGAACTCTCTCCATTTCATCGTCTCTCTCCTGTCCTGTGGTGGCATATCAGAACGTGGTGATATACAGACACGCAGCCCTCGGGCATCGGCGCTCTAATAACCTCATGTTGCAGGGGCCTTCCTCACAGAATCTCTCCATGCCAGATGTGAATTATTAAAATCAAATTAAATTTGGCCTGTATGTAAAAGCAAGTGTAATACAAATTAAAAATGGCAACTAGTGCCTGAAGTTTAATAAGTTTGAAGGATGATATCATTACAGCTTGAAAGAAAAAGAATGAGATTGGAAAGGCATATAAAATGAAACTTGATGTGTTGAAAGGTGAACCGACGGCGTTAATACAAATTGCGTTTGCGCCAGAAACGAGGGGGTGGCTGGGGGGCGTTTTGCACTACAGGTATTTCTGAAGAAACCAGACCACCAGCATTTCATACTTGCTTTCTTCTCATTCAAACCACGTTCACGTTTCGTTCCTCAGATCTTCATGCCGAACTTTGATCTGTGAGCATGCTCAAGGGGGGAAAGGGTGGGAAAGCTTTGGGGGGTTAAAGTGTTATAAAGGTACTACTCATATTAACAATATGATTCTTTAACTATGGTTTGTATACTAAGGAAAGTAGCTTATTATAGATATGAAATCTGTATATTAGGGAACAGCAGCACATTTCTCAGATTCTATGGGGAAAGTAGTCGGTGGGCGGGTGGGTTTCAGGGTGGGACGGGTTTTTTTTTCTTTATAAAGATCATGTTAAAGTTCTGGTTTTCTCAGCACAAAGCGTAAGGAAATATATATCAAGAGTATTGATTTTGCTGTGTGAAATGTGCAGTGGCAGAGCCAGGCACTCGCTGCGCTGTTCTTAAAGCCTGGATGAGACAATGCTGTTTACAGTTGTTTTTGGTTTTCTTGTTAATGTTTGTTGTTTTCTTTTGATATTTTCCGAGAAAAGAGGACAAGAGGTGCACCAGCTATCTCTGCGATGTGATTGGTGCGGCATGACCAACTGAAATCGACAAATTCTCTGTTTATTTATTTTCCTCTTCTTTCTTTTTTGAGACAGAGAATATATGTCCAAGATAAATGCCTGAGAAACCAAACATCCTGTTGACATTTCTCAAATACTTGCTGCTTACATTGTTTTACGGTTATGCCTACTCATCTAATGATTTGCCGATTAATTTAGGAACATGTTTATTTAATTATTTATTTATTCAGTTATTTATTTATTTATTCCTGACAACAATCTGTTTATGAATCGCCTATTTATTGGTTATGGTTAGAAAAATGTATGCATCGAAAAGAAACGCTTAATGGGCTTCTCTCTTTCTCTCTCTTTTTTTCAATTTTACAATAAAAGTTTAAATTTAAATATGAGGTCTGTTTGTCTTTGGTTCTTATCTAACTCTATTGAGCCTAAAACATGCAGTGCTGTGTGAAGGTAAGCGCAACGTCCTCTTTTTTTAACATGATACTGAAACTTTATTTGTTAATTGTTAGATCTTAATCAGGTTAGACGCCATACTGAATTTTAACATGGTTGAAAACTAGGCTATACGGGACAGACTTACAGTCTTTACAATGTATTAAATCACTTAATTTTCACAACTTACAACTTTCAAAACTGTTTTATGGAGTTGTTATCTACTTTGTAATTATCTGAACAGTCCTCTTTCTCTTATATGTAGCATTGGATTCATCTAATCAATCAGCTCGTCCTAAATAGTTCTCATATGTAGTCGTGGAAAGTTCTCATTCTCAGTGGCTCTCTCTCATGTAGTGCTGATTCATTCTAGTGAATCAAGTTCACCCTAAAAGGCCCTCTCTCTTACTTATGTGTAGGGCTGCAAAGTCTGTGCATTTTCATGAATGGTTCCTCCAGGATAGTTCTTCCTGTTCATGTATAGTGTTGGAAAGTGAATCTTCTTCTAGTAAATCAGTTCAATCAGACGTTCATTTTTGTGAATTGGTTCATTCAGAATGGTTCTTCCTGTTCATGTATAGTGTTGGAAACTGTGTTAATTTCGTTGACGAATAATTTTCGTCATAATTTTCGTCAACGACATTTTTTTCGCCGACGATAACGAACTAAAACTCTTTTTAAATGACAAAAACTATGATGTAAATCTATTGA